ATTGTAGGGCTTAATCTGATCTATGTTAGCCAGTGTCTTTTCCCCTTTCTACCATTTAAATAAACTACTGTTTCTCGAATACTTTCAATTATGAATGGACCTTGAAAAAGGGCTTGCCCCGCACATGATAATGAGTGCTTTATCTTGAGCACTTTGTCTACCAACTCCTAATATATTTCCCATCTTTTCTGTCATAATACAGCTCTTTTTTCCACTGCCGTGTCCGAATTTTTCACTGTTTCCTTTATTATCTTCTGTATATTTGTCATTTTAATTTCTAGTTCTCTCTTCGGCACAAAGAATAATTTATTCAGAGGCGTAATCGGCCTTCGGCCTAAGAATAGCTTTATACTGGAGTTTTCCCTGTCTTGCCATGCTTAGTTGTCCTTAATGCAAATGCTAACTACTTAACACAGCTATGCCAGTGCTTATGATAGTTTTTCGCATAACAACGTATAATTTTAAATATGTTCCTATTTATCTGCTCTGTTATGTTTGACTCCGGTCTATAAGGTGTACATTCGTAGAAATGAAGTTTTCGATAGCTATTATTTCAGAGTTTTCACTTTCAGTTCCTTTCTTGGATATTTTATAGCCTAAGCAACGACGTTCTGGAGCAAGGAATTTACATTTAACGACATGCATTTATGATTTTTAGATGTCGTAGACCAAGTCTTGCGCATAGTTCCTCAAATATTTAGCTAATAAACTGTTTTACGTTATCGGAAATTGCTTAAATGGAACTCCATGTTTCATAATATATCTATATATAAAAAAGAATCTACAATTATTTTAGCCGAGGCTCTTCTTACAGAGACTATTTCTACCCACTTAAAGAAATGGTCAAACAATAACGAGTAAATATATATTTTTATTGACTTCAGGTAAGTCTGTATAAATTGTTGAATCGAAAAGGAAGTTCGTTGGTACCGACGTTTGAGAGACACTTAGGTTTACCATAAAATATACTAGAGACAGAGTTAAGAATTATTTTAAGGAGAAAGGAAAGCTGAGAAACTAATTCGAAGGAAGCCTAGAACAAAAGAGTCAAAATAGTAAGGGGAAGGGTGTTCGGAGATTGCTTTTATCTTATTATGAAATCCAGTCTACCTGGAGTTAAACTAAAGATTATTATAATCTCTGGCTAAAAGTCAAGGATATAGAAAGAATAACAGTAACAGTCAAAAAGTTTCACCCAGAATCAGCGATATTTGGGGCTTTTGTTAATAAAGGGAAAAGTAGCCACAGTTATTTACATTAAATTGATTACATTTAAATACAAAATATACAAACTTCCGGTCTCATCCTCCATTGACGGTTTAAGGTAAGTCAAGCATAACTTACTAGTTTAAAGATTAAATATAAAAATTAACACCTGCTTTATTAAGCGAATAATTAATTAAATGGGAACGTACTTGATTGCCTATAAGAACTCGTGTTAGTAAAATTAGTTCATTTTTAAGTAGTCTATTTCTGTACAGATATTTTTTAATATTTTAATTAGAAAGATTATTGTGTGGCGAATAACGTTTTTCATAAGTTGGTATAGTAAATAATTAGTTTAATGGCAGTAAATTTATTTCTAATCAAACATTTTTAATTTTATTGAACTGAATATTTTGTAGATCAAGAAAACTGTATTTCTTGTTGACTTGTATTTATTTTATTATAGCTAAAAGAATGTATTTAAAATTTCTCAATAGAGCCAAAATTATTGAAAGTAATAATATTGTCTGTGTGAGTGTAATTTTGGCAAATATCTTTAAACTATTAAACTTTAAACTATTAAAAACTATGTCGAAAGATTGCTAAAATAGACAGTCTTTTGTAAATAAGTATAAATTACAGACTTGTTATGAGAATCTAGTTAACATGATTTATTTTAAAACAGTGTTATTAAATTTAACAAAGTTGCAAAAAAGTGAGCATTGGAGAAAATCTTTTCCTAAAACATTCAGCATGTCAGGAAATATATCTGGAAGAAGTAGTAGATTATTGTAAATTTCTTTTAAAGGAAAAGGAGTACACAGGTTTTAGTTAATTTCTTTAATATCAAGATTTTTAATTGCTGAAATAACAGGGAGGTTATAATTTATAATCCAACAGAAACTGTGATCTTGTTTAATTGAATTATATACAATAGAACCAAATTTTTAAAACTGGATTGCACATAAATAGTCAATATTTTCTTATAATGTTTCATCGCATTTGCTATAAACCTGAATTTAATCGGTTTCTTATGGAATTTGGGAAGAGCATATAGGTTAGAGAATCTGTTGCAGTCAGGTGGAGTCGAAATTTAAGCCTGCGGTGAAAGGCTTTTAGTTTGTTGATAGTGGAAACATCTTTTTCATCTAATTTTGGTACGTAATTTGTTGATACAGTTTCAATTATCTGGCTGTAAAATTGTTTTCAAATGACACTGAAATTGTTGCTTGCTTTATTTATTTTGGTAATAGTAAATTTCTTCTTTATTTCCTGATCTTGTAATTAAGTGCATTTCAGTCAAATTACCCTGTAAAATTTAGTTGATAAATTCTGTTCTTAATATTCTTCAAAAGTTCTTTCCCCTCTAAGAATGCATTACTGGAAAGACTAATGACTATAAGACTAAAGACTTAATATATGCTGTTTTGGTTATAAATTTGGTCAGGTTATTTTCAATATTCTTGAGACAGTAGTTCTTGCTGATTATTTGCGGTGGTCTGAATTTAGTTCCAAGTTTCATTAGTTCCTTTAATTGTAGGCCATTGCCTATGTCCAAATTGCCTGCTATTATGTGATTATGCTGCTCATCAGCATGAGCCATATGTTCTCTCTTTTGGCAGTAACAGGTTAGTATCGAGTATCTTTAGCCTCGACTTCATGGTGATTTATGAACCAATTACTTAAAGTCTTTTGATATTTTAATGAAATAATCTTATCACGTTGATTGACGGGAAGAAGCTTTAATTCTTTTTTCAAAATATGATTAAATTTAATCTTGTCAAACTCAGGATGTAGGAAGTTGACGCTGCAGTAAAACTTACTAGATTTGTACTTTTAGTCTGAGAAGTTTACATCTACAAAAATCCAGTACAAGATCATAATTGATTTTACTGTTTGCATTAGTGGTTTGAATAAAATTCTTAATTTGAATTTAGAATTTATTTTTACAAGTTTACAACCAATTAATTAAATTTTTCTTAAAATTATCTGACCTTAGAAAGTCTAAGCAAAATTGAAGTCTATTTCGATCCACTGTAACTGTAATTTACTTAGTAGTTTATTATTTGCTAAAAAGTATAAATTAGCTCCATGTAAATGATTTATCTGTATGTCTGTTATGTTTACTATATGTGTTTAACCCATAGGGGTAAAGTGTTTTAAGCTGAAGCACTAAAATTGATTCTTGAAACAGTCAATCTAAGGTGTGAGTAACTGTATCTAAAATTCGAATATGATTAATTTTGAAGTCGTGTAATTGAGAATGTTCTAAGTCTGTAGTGCTAAGGTTGCTATTCTTAGAAAAGACTATTAAATTACTTTTTTGATTAATAATAGAGAAAGTTTTTAATGTGTTATCTATGTTTATTTAAAACTGATATTAAAATTAGTTTTAGTTTGTCCTACATATTTTATGTTACAGGTGTTTCAAGTTATTAGATAGATACAATTACATGTTTTTCAAAGACGTTGTTTTCTTGTGGCTAAGTTACTAGATGGCATGCCGTTAAATTTACAGGTTAGTAATTGCGAGTAATGACAGTTTCTAATTTCAATGTGTGTAATACGAGCAAGTTTTAAAAGTAGAGAGAAAGCTAGCCTTTAGTTCAGTTAAGTTTTAGCGGAAAAACTTTAAAATAAAAATTTTAAAAAAACGGAAATTCAAATAGTAAAGAAGCAAATATAAAAGCATAAATGGACTTTAAAAAGCTAGCGCTAGCGCTGCTAAGACTATAATGCAAATATAATTATTAATTTTCTAATTAGGATTATTTCCTGGGAAAGGGCGTGAAATACTGTTGCTAACTGAAGCTAAGGAACGTTAAATCTTGCAAAGACAGATAAGTATTAATAGACTAGTAAAAAATTACAAGTTTAAAATTTGTATGGGTATTCATAAAAATGTACTTTTTAAAAGAAAATAAAATAAAATAATTAAAATAAAATAACCAAAATTATTATAGTACATACATAAAAATAAAAATAAAGAAGAAGGTACATTGCAGAAAAAAAATAAGAAAATTACTACCAGTTTCCTAGGAGAGGGCTGACTCATCAACGGGAATTATAACATACATATATACATGTGATATATATGAATGAAATAATTTGAATGTGGAAGACAAATGTTGATGCGTAAATCCGACTTTAATATTTCTTTATGCTCTCGTTGACAAGCATTTTGTAGCCAACCCAGATAAAGTGGCGCAATAAACGCCTGTTCTGAAATTTTGCATTTTTGAAGAAGGAGCAGCAGCAGAGAGTATAGCTAGGACCAGAAATATAGAGGCAAGTACAAAGTATCCATGATTAAAGTTGAGTACAAAGTGATTTGAGTTTTCGTTCATAAGAGTTAGTTTTATTTTTCTTTCTGAATTCCTTTGTTCTGATTGGTTAATATTTAAACTTCCAAAATTGTTATAAACTGAGGCTTTATGTAACTTATCTGAATTTTGAGTACGAATCACATAACAGCTATTAATTTTTAAATGATGCAGTTTTAAGAGATTTATTATAAGCAGGTACTATTTTTAGGATGAAAAGGGGGAAGTCTTAGTATTAAAATAGAGAGTTAAGGAACTATTACAAGATAAAGTTAGAATTTCGATTTACGTATTTTTACCTTATATATTATATATATATATATATATATGAATGTGTATATATATATCTAATTAAACTTAGGAGATAATATATCAGTTAATCAATATTGTTTAGGAAATAAATTATTATATATATATATATAAATATATAATTTATATATATTTTGAAAACTTACTTTTCTTTCTTTGCAGATGCCCGTTTCTCTTGCCTGAAAGGCTCTGTAACAATGACAAGACGTTCTGGATATTACATCACTAATGTTTACATACCTACTTGTCTAGTAGTTTTTATGTCAATGTTGACTTTCTGGATTCCACCAGATGCCGTTCCAGCTAGGGTTACATTAGGAGTGACTAGTTTACTTACTATCGTAACGAAGCAATACCAAGCCTCCTTACCTAATGTTTCTTACATCGTTGCGCTCAATATATGGCTGTCGGCCTGCATTGGTTTCGTTTTTGTCAGCCTTTTAGAGTATGCTACAGTAATAGCCTTGCATACACGCCTCAAGAAAAATGCTAAAACTAATCCGTCTATCATAAGTGATCAGATTAAAGTTGTTCAAAAGGTATTCTTTATTTTTTGTTGTTTAATTTTTTTAAAGTAATTCCTTTTGGAAAGTTAACTGTATGTCGAAATCTTTTATTAAAGTTGTTTAATACAATTACATGTATTAAACTCTACAGTATTATAACACGCAAAAGGTTACTTTAAACCTTAAAATTGAGTTTTGAAGCAATCTAACGTGAGAGATGATAGTAGCACAATAAGTAACAATCTAGGAAATTAAGGAACTTAAAGTGTACATTTCATTTTTATACTAGTTCCTTTCAAAAGTGTTAAAGTATGAATCATTTTAAAATTAAAAAAGACAGAAAATAAATTTTAAATGCGAAGGAAATTAATTATTTTTATTTTCGGAATAAAATATGCTTTGCACTTTGAAATTGCTTCAATAAAATATTATATATAGCTTCAATAAAATATCATATATTGCTTCAATAAAATATTATATATTTTTATTAGTACGTTTTTAATTATCAAAGACAAATTTTTACTTTATAAGTATATCATCATAATAATGTATTTATAATGGTTGCCTGTGAAATTTCTTCTTAGTCAAATTAAAAGAAACGAACAAATACAGGGGTTGGACAAAAATATGGAAACACCTTTAAAAAAACATGTTTCTTTGCTTAATATGGTGTAGGAAACCCGTTGGCATCCAAAACAGCTTGCAGTCTTCTCGAAATGGATATATACAATTCCTGTATGTTTGCCAAGGGAATATTATACCATTCTTCCTGCAAAACGGTGGCAAGTTCAGATAACGATGTTGGCGGTGGATAACGAGAACGCACTTTCTGTTCCAATGTCGATTACAAAGGTTCGATAATATTCAGGTCTGGTGACTTTGGTGGCCAGGGGAGATGGGACAACTCATCCTCGTGCTCAGAAAAACCAGTCCTGGACAATGTGAGCTGTGTGAACAGGGGCTTTGTCGTCTTGGAAGACACCATCACCATCGGGGAACAAAGTTTGTACCATGGGATGAACTTGATCGGCCAAAATGTTCACATAAGTCTTGGCAGTCATGTGCCCTGACACAGTTATCATGGGGCTAGCAGAGAACCATGATATGAATGCAAACCATAACAGAACCCCCGCCATGTTCACTCTTTGCAACAAGCAGTCTGAATTATAGGCTTGAAATGGCGTTCTCCAGACGTAAACTCGGCCAGAAGTGGGAAACAATGTGAAAGAAGACTCGTCAGACCATATTACTCGCTTCCACTGCTCTATAGTCCAGGCTTTATGACTTAAACACCACCTTTTCCTGTTACGGGCATTAGCATCACTGATGAGTGGCTTCTTAATTGCAGCACGGCCAGCAATTCCCTGTTTATGAAGCTCCCTTCTAATTGTTTTGGTACTCACAGGGTTCGGTAATACAACATTCATTTCAGCAGTAACTTTTGCAGCTGTGGTCTTCTTATTTTTCGTCACAATTGCCCTTAATGATTGCCTGTCACGATCACTCAGGACACACTTTCGTCCGCGCTGTGATTTAGCAGATGATGTTTTTCCGCTTTTCAAATATGCGGAATAAATCTTCGATACAGTACCTCTTGAAACACTAAACACCTCGGCTACCTTGCTTACGGAAGCACCTACCATACGTGCTCCAACAATTTGCCCACGTTCGAAGTCTGTTAACTCTGACATAATGCAATGACAACCTCACATAACAGTACTCCTACAACAACTGAACTGTTTAGCACATTTACGAAGTTGTATAGGTGGCGTCAGTAGTCAAAAACGCCAGCGCCACCTACATATTTCATTAAAATCAATCTTTCTTTTCAAACATGCATTTCACAAGGTGTTTCCATATTTTTGTCCATCCACTGTATTTGAACAATAGAAAATTCAAATTAACGAGGCATTTGGTAAACTCATACCTAAAAGTATCTAAAAATCTACATTGGTATTAACATTTAACGTAAGACAGAAACTATTGAATATAATGATGATGAAAATTATTTCGACATAAATATGAAGGATTGAGATATAAGTAACATAAAAAATGCAGTTTATTAACTCTGCATTCATATAAAAAAGTTATATACAATGATAGTGGCATGAAATTGTAGAGTTTTGAAGAATTAGACGGCATATGTTTCCTAAAAAGCGATAATAAAATGTTTTCTTTGCATCTGGTAGCATTTGCTCCTCTTTTAGCGATAAAAGTACAGGAAAACCTCTTTAACACGAACTCCCTTTAGGCGAACACTCGGTTAACATGAACAAAATTTTAGTCCTGGTAGCGACGTATATGATCTTAAGGGAAGTTTTATGTGTTAATGCAAATTTCGGTTACTCCGAATTGCGAACTGTTTTTTAGTCCTTGACGTCACTAGATTTTTAAATTTAATACAAACTTTCAAAGTTTTTCATAAGTTTTCCTGTTGTTTCTCTACTAGGGCTGCGTCCAGAAATGTTCCACACCGTTTAATTAAAAACCTCACAGAAAGCACTGTATTTTTTAAAACATAGTTAGCACGAGTAACATCGCCCGACAATCACGATCATCAAGTCAACAGTGAGTTTCAGTCGCTAACAAAGAGTTTCAATCAACAAACGTAATTATGGGTTTGTGCAGCAGCATATGTGCAACAAACAGCATAACGAAGCAGATGTGCTTGTTTTTCTTTAAAGGTTTGCTAGTATGACTGATGTTAAATGCTGAATAATTTTTAATTAATCCTGTAAAATTACTTGCCTGTCTTTTTTTTTCCAATAATCACCGGGCGAGTTATTATCTTCTCTTATTCCTAAAACTCAGTAGGACATATCATACTAAATGAATAATTTCAGTAAAAAGTTAGATGAATTGCATTTACAACAAAATATTTACATAGATTGGACTATGTCTTTTTTCATTCGAAAGACATAGATTGGACTATGTCTTTCGCACCAACATGTCTTTTTTCTCCAAAAGTTCTAGATACACCCTTCTTCAGATCTGTAGATGGCCCTAACTAAACTTCAGTTGTAAGTAGTAAGATAGTGTGCTTCATTTATATACGCATTTTACTTCGTTTTCAACGCACAATGGTTCAAAACATAATCAAACCTTTTTTACATAAACATTATATTGCCCGATTCAAAAGTTCAACGAAACTTTAGCGCGTAGAAAAATCGTGACTGACATCACTGTTTATCGAGAGGCCAGGACATCCTTACCACCTTAGTCAAACTCAAGAGGTATAACCAGCTGCACTGGTTGAGTCACTTCTTTGTGATCATCACGTAGTACGTATCATCTGCATTTTCCTTCGTTTCCTTTGATTACCCTTTCAATAAGGGCAATTTTCCACATATGCCGAGTCCTTACATCTTTCTGCAGAAGTACCAAATTTCCTTTTTTAATGGGAATTAATTTGTGGATATTGCGCACTTGATGATATTTGCATATTACCATAACGCGTACAACAGTTTACAAAGTAAGCAGTTTCGCAGTATCCGTTTCATGGCATCACGACCTCACACGATCCAATAATTAGGGCGTAGTTCGGAAAACGGTATTCTAACACTTAAGTCGTGTAGATAAATATGCATATAGTGAATCAGAAGGTGAACAAACGGATGAGAGCCATCAAGTAACAGAGGATGTCTTACGTTCGAAGATACTGGTGTAAACTGAAGTCAGCCTCCTAGCAGTAAAAGGCTTTCTTTCAGGAATGGTTTGAAACAGACAATTTTTGATTTTATAGATAATAACAAATTATTTTGTAAAGTTTCTGTTTCATTTGGGAAACATTCTTTCTGCGCCCAATATAATATATACTGTTGAGAAATTGTTGAAGTACATTAATATCCCCTTCCGATTTTTTCTCTCATTTGATGGGAATAATACATCTTCTACACATGCCAAAGGTACGTAAAATCTGCGGTGGTAAGACACGCCGAATGCTTTGATATTTTCTCCTAAAACAGTTAAAACCTGCTGCCTTCGGTTGCACTCAATCAAAACTTCATTCAAGGCGGTAGCTGATAGGTGTAGAATTGGTATAATATTTTCCAGAATATCGAGGTGAGTTTTAATTATTCTTTTTTTTAATCATTGTGTTTGTTAATAAGAAATTTCGTGTAGTTTCATAAATATTTGCTATAATACTTATTCATCAACTAATCTCTTTAGTTCAACTTCTAGATAACTGCGCAAAAGTACGTGTTTATCAATGGCTGAAAGATGTGGGTTTACAGAAGATTTAATCAGCCAGAAGATTTAAATTGTTACCAAAATCTTTGAAAGTGCTCGACATCCTCACGGATTGGTTCAAGTTTAACTGTCGGTATCTTTATTGCATAGGAATGAGATAAGGGCGTAGGAGTACTTGCGAACATAATTTGCGAACAAATTGAGGAGATCAGTATCATTCTGCCCACCTGTCAAGAAATGTTACAAGCTTTGGATATTGTAGAATATTTTTCTGCAACATCCGATTTTATCGGAAACTTTACGAAAGCAATTAGCACAGTTGGCTGTGAAGTTTCCAGGTACTTTCATTCCCGTCGGCGACAGCGCAATGTAAAGAAATGATTTACCAAAAAATTATCTGTAAGTGCATTTTTTCAAGTTACAGTTCCGTAATTAACGTAGCACTGTAGCATTTCTTATGAAGAGAGTATTGTAGTACTTATGTAACTAAATACTATAAATGGTTAATGAGTAGTGAAAAACTATCCCAAAAATAAAATTTGAGTCCTCAGATAACGCGAATTTTTTTAACAACAAATTTTGATTTTTCGGCCCCTTCAGATTCGTGTTAACGAAGGTTTATTCTCTTAAGTGAAAACATCAATCCAAGAAATTCAGCAAGAACAGCATTTTAAAGATAATTTGATTTAAAGATAATTTGTTTCTTAAAAAAGGTATATCTAGACATTTTAATATGCGGAATTAAAACAAAAAGTGAAAATCAAGCAGCTCCGAAATTACTTCATTCAAACTACAAATGTATAAGTTTCGTAAACACTGGAGCATTACCTCCGATAATCTGG